CCCGCGTGGAGCCTTCCTGCAGGGCTCCAGGCGCTCACTGAGTGTTGGCCTGCTCAAAAGAACACAGGTCAGATGCCAAACGAGCCTTTGGAAGGTCAAAAATGAGATTGCCTCTTCTTTGCGCACCGCTGCGACCTGGCAAAAAGCACAGCGGCGTGGGGATCACAGGGGTGCGGGGAGAGAATCAAAGCCCTGCCTTGTTTTTCTCTCCTGGGCCGCTTTAGGGTGTGGAGTTGAGTGTTTGGGGTGCCGGGTTTAGGGTTACGGTGTAGGATTAGAGCTTAGGGATAGCTATGAACAATCTTAAAGTCCACATAAACCCCATGGAACTGTTCAGCATGAAGCTGATGTTTCTGCCGATGAGAATGGTGATGATGATGATGATGATGATGCTGATGCTGACGGTGATGATGCTCATGATGATGCTGATGATGGTGCTGATGATTGTGATGATAATGACGATGACGATGGCGATGATGACGGTTAAGATGACGGTCCATTAGCGCTACAATCGAAAGCACACACAGCCCGAACTTCCCCAACCTTTCTGGAATGTAAGGTCTACCGTGGAAGCGCCTGCAGTTGGACGCGCGGGGCGGCACAGCGCAGGGCGGCAGCGGCCCTTTCCTGGTACAGTCGAGGTGCGCGGCTTTAGAGTTGAGGAAGACTACTCAAAGACTGTGACGGTTTAAGAGCGACGAGGAAAAATCCGAACACTCTGCGGACTACATCCAAGCGCTGGTAAGTGTTTCTAAACGGACATAGGTCCTAGCAAAGTTTGATCTGGCCTGATGCTGAGTCTCATAGCACTGGTCCCTGGGAGGTTTCGTCGAGGGTTTAGGGTGGTTGGCCCCACTCTGCGAGCCGAGAGACTTGAGACAACCCGCTGATCCTGGACTTCATGCAGACCAAAAACCGAAGCCTGGACGGTAAAAGTTCTCGACCCCCGAAGCACAAAAGTCGTGCGCATGATTAATTACATAGAAGATGATTTCGAAGGCTCAGACTCGCCCAGGGAAGACCGCCTGAAGGCACTGACAGCCATGACAGAAGTTGTGGACTCCATGAATCAAGGGTATTTGGAACTTGGATCCTGCTACTTGGTGTCAAGTCGCACCTCAAACTGAGAAATACTCGATCTCAATGACGAGGCCCGCTTTGTGCAGGTCTTCAAGTGGGCTGATGAAGCCTGCAGCCTAACAGCCTAAACTTAGGACCTAAACCCCAAACCCTCAACCTTAAACGCGCAGCAGCCTCTTTGGACTGCGGGGGCGGCGTGTCACTTTTCTCGGAGTTTATTCGATCCCTGCTCCATTGCTGGTAGGCAAAGGTAGCGCTTGTGGGCCGCCCCCGCAGTCCAAAGAGGCTGCTGCAAAGGTCCTAAGTTTAGGCTGTTAGGCTGCAGGCTCCAGTGATCGCCTTTACTGCCAGACAAGCCCGACGAATCATTTCCCCGACATGCCATCATCAGCCCAACATGCCCCCCACACCTCCGATGAAGAAATCTCCTTTATATTTTTTGGCATGAACCACAGGAAGTTACTCTAAACTAGACCTCGAATTTGAACCGTTAAGCCCAAAACCCTCTGCATCCTAGACGATCCAGCTCTTCTGGCGGGTTAAAACGGCCCGGCCCTCAATTTTCGCGGAGTCGTCGGTATCTCGAACACCTTCGTCAGCAGAGGGCAGCTTGTTTGTTGCGCTAACCCTTACTCAGACAGATAAGTTGATCTTACGAGGGTTCAGGGTTTAGGGTTCAATCATTATTCGATCCAGCCTCGGGCTCCCACTAAGGAAGCTCTATTCAGAGGAACGACCGGATCAGGACTGGGCTGCAACTTACCGGGACATGCGCCAAGCCGCGTTGCTTTCGAACACCTGGAGTCGCCTGTATACCATGCAAATGAACAAGCCTGAGCCCAAGACAGATTTTGTCCAGAGATCGCTGAAAAAAAGAAGGTGAGTTCTGAAGTAGCCACCTTCAGCTCCTGCAAAACAGAAAGCCTGTATCAACAGTCCACCTAGATTCCATTCGCACTGCATGCTTGAACCCGCTGAAAAGGCAGAAAGCAAAAAACGCAGCTCTGCCTGAAACTATGTTCATCTGCAGCATATGATAACTTGAGAAAAGTTAGTTTTCAGATTTAAGACAACTAGATATCCTAGTCTCCAACACAGGCTACAAGGCTTTCTATGCTAAACCAAGAAAGCTGCATCGCAACGAAACTCACAACCCCAAACCGAAAACAGGTTGCCTGGACCTCCACCTCGTCGCTGAACCGCACCTGCCTGAGAGGGCAGGGTCGCAGGGTTTCAGGAGTCAGGATTTCAAGGTTGGGGTTATAAGGACAGGGTTGTTTAGGGGTTTGGAATTTAGTTTAGGGTGCATTGGTCTGGGTTTTGGAGGGTCCTGCTTTGGACTTGAGGTTTCTTGCACGGATATCTGTGGCGAAGGCCAAAATGGTAGACGTTGGCAAGAGTCCGTGAACCGCGGTTTTTTCTATTGCTTCGCCGATAAAATTGGCACTGTCTCCAACAGCAGCGGCGAGATGCTCACTGCCGGAAATTATCTGCCATGCTGGACCACTTCGACAATGAACTATCAAGTCCTAGGCAAATGGGCCGAGACTCTGTACAAGCAATACAAAATCACTGCCGATGTCTATGATATCTTTACCTCTGCGGGATGGTGTTCTGGCTCGCGCTCGCAATCTCCAGGCGTGTCGAGAACATGAAGCCAGCTGCAGGGCAAGACAGCTCAACAGCACAAAATCCCTGGCAAAAAATCCTGAATGTGTCAACAGCACCGGAAGAAAAGGCACCCAAAAGCCTAAACCCAGCACGAGCCCTAAGCCCTAAACTGCTCGGAGGTGCCTTGGCAAGTTTGCATGTCGGGGTCCAGCATTCCTTTCAAGGAGTCTAAATGGGTTCTATAAGGGCTTAGGGGTTTAGGGTGTTGTGGCTTTAGGACTTGTGGCTTCGGGTTTAGGATTTGCGCGTGAGTTTTTGTAGAGGGGCTCAGGATTTGCATGCTGTCCAAAGCTTATACCGGCATCCCCGACAGCCGCCAAAACCCGCAAGGCCCTGAGACGAGGCCATGTATTCTGCAGTCACATTGGGTAACGTCCCAGGAATTCTTGGTGCATGGACCAATTCACAGATGAGTATGAAGCTTAGTTCACGCTATAACTGTCGTTGTTGCAGCTCCAGTGGGAGGCAACGCGAGCAACAACTACGACTGGATGTTGCGTTCCTCTGCTGTGCTGCTATGCTCTGGCTCTGGCTGAAGGATACATCGTTCAATTCCAAGATCACTGCCGTCGCAACCCATTGCTGCGCGTTGCTTCGCTTGGTGTCTCCCAACAGCAGGGGCCCAGGTTTCAGTTGTCGGGTTTGGAGACTCGGGTGTAGGTTGCCCCCTACTGCCCAGGTCCCTAAACCTTGGCTCAGATTAAACCCCAAACTCCTAGACCTCGGAGGCTTTCAAGCTCCAAGGCCTTATCTCCTAAGACCGAGAACCTAACTTCCAAGTTCAGAAACCCGTTCTTCCAAACCGCCAACCCTGAACCCCAAAAGGGGGATCCCAAATGAGTCATGCAAGATATTCGAACCCAAAAAGCACATAAACCAAGGCGAAAGCAACCTGGAGCTTGCTTTCTCCTGCCGCTAATCCGGACAAGACCCTTGTTTCAAGCCTAAGCCCCAACTCTGCCCTAAACCCTGACTGAATCCTAAGGCCCCTGCTTTTGCGCGTTCGCGGCAGGGTCCTGCGCAGGGGTGGTCCCCAAAGCGGGCTTCAATACCTGACACTGCTACCGCAGTCAGGTTGAAAGACGGCCCTTCCGAGGCTCAACTTCTGAAAACCAATCCCAAACTCCCTCCCCCCTTCCCGGCCGCTGACTGTCGGGTGGCTCAATGGTTTGCTATGTGATTCTGCTAGTCTTAGTATGGGTACATCATAATACCCATTGGGCCTCCCGGCAGCCCCGCTGACCTGTGCTCCTGGTGCCTCGAGGTCAGGAGGGTCGGCGCCGCCTCGAGTGGGTCCGGGCTTGGGTATGCACGTTCGAGACTGACAGCCCCCCCATACCGGCAAACTCAGGATTCAGAACCCAAACTTCTAGGGAAGTAGGGGTACTTGACCAAAGACATGTCGCTTTGCTAACTTCTCCCGATCCTGCTGCTACTGCTGCCCACACTTGTTGTTCTACCACCGCAGCATTGCATAATGGCAGGCCAACAGGTGAACCTTCATCACTATTTCTGTCACGCACTTCTCTGCCTCGTGTGTGGCTTGCAGTTAAACCCTAAAGTCAAAGTTTTAAAAGGAGTCGGGGCTGTATTTTATGAGCTTGGCTTTCGGCGCTGTTAGAGGCCGATGCGGCTTGCAGGGAATTGGATTTCTAGGGTTTAGCGTTTGGTAAGTGTGAGACTGAGACTGCCTGACTGACACAAATCCGGTATACAAATGCTCGCCACCTCGGAAGCCCAATTTTCCCAGTGGCAGCTGCGTGCTTTGACGTGCGGTGCCCGTGACCACTTGGAGTTGGATAGGAGCCGCCGAACATGCTTGAGGCCATACGCAGCATCAAAGGGAGTATTTCCGCGACTGTCACGCATGCTAGGGCGAGGGATCAAGCGCCCCACCCTCACATGGCCCGTCCAGATTTGTCTGGGAAGTCTACGACGGCTCCGGCTTCCACCAAAACTGTCGCCGCATCCATAGAAGCCTTTTGGGTTGAGGCTCGCAGTCGCAAGGAGGAGCGGAGTCGCTCCGGCATCGGTTTGTGCTTCGGTGTTCGCCCTGGACTCGAGGAGAACCCTCATCACGTCGGACTGCGGGATGAGATCTGATAAGCACAAGGGCGTCCCCAGCATACCGGTTCTTTCGATGCAAGCTCCGGCTGTCAAGAGGCATCGCACCTTGCCTGCGGAGGTGTCTTACGGGATTTAGCCGCAATGTGGGAAAACTCGGCTATTGGCTTCCGGTTTGAATCGGTTGTCTAAACAATCGACCAGCTCCGCACAAAAGGCGCTTCCGTCAGCTGATGTTGCAGCAGGGCCTGGCACAGTGGCGTCCAGGGCTGATCAGAGAAATTGCCGTTCGGATCTGCTTGGGCTTCTAATAGCAGCTGCATGATCTCAATCTTAGTGTTTCTGGCACCTCTTAGGAGCAAGTGTCCTGCATTTGGATCCAAAGGCACCTGGAGGAGCCTCTCAACCTCTTCCACATGACCTTTCGAGATGGCATCGAGGATCTCAGCTTAAAGATCGCAGGTGCTGACAAATATTAGCATCACCAGCTGTAGGTCGCGATCGGTGGGGAAGTGCAGCGACTCGTCGTCCATATTTCTGCAATCCAGCAGAAGCCTCTAACGAGCCCACAGTAGCCTTGCAGCTGCTTCTTCAAAGCCCTCACAGTCTTCAGCTCCTTACCCGAGATGGCGACCAGCTCTTCGCCGGAGGCTTTCCAGACACGAAGCATGCGGAAGGACACCGGGAAGGCTCCCGTGAACTGAAAACCAAAAAGCGGCTCAACCTTCGAACTCGAAGCACCTCTGCTACTGCTACTGCCCATTAAACCTGCGTTCCGAAACAATGAACCCCAAATCCGAAGTACTGTGAAGCAAGCTCAAGTCTGAGCCTGCCCGAGACCTTCCTGAATAATCCAGGGCCTCCATAAGTAAATAAAGGGTCCTTTACATGGTTCCGTTCAGGGCTTGTTTTGGGGGATGTGCTACTCTCTAGCTTCTTTATAGGAGCCCCTGCGGTGTGGCATTGCTAATGAGACTTCCATATTGCCTGCGGTAGCAATCGCTTGGAGCCGATGGTTCATGGCGCAAGCAAAGTTTCGCAGGAATGGATACGGTCCCACCTATAGAATGGGCATGGGGCATAGACAGGGGTGGTGGAAGCCACACGCTGTAGTCCTGGAGCCATGGCTCTGAGAGCACAAAGCCTAGAATCCCTAACCGTCATATCGAGACCCCAAATCCAAATTTGAGGCCCCTGATCATAAGCCAACCTGAAATACTACAGATCCTTGAGCACATCCGGATGCTGAGGTGCGACCTATCGCTGTCTTTACACCAGCAGAATGAAGTAATGTAGGGGCCTTTGTAATTAGAATACGATTTTGGGGCCCCTTATACTATATCTATTATAATGAGTTGCAAAGCAGCAATGTGGCACTCGACCTGCAACATCCTCAAGCCCTAAACTCTAAACTGTTTCTGCGCTGACATGAGGTCTTAACTGAACACCGACGAGTTCATGTAGGATCATGTAGGTACATCCAACCTGCCCGTCAGCGTCCATGCGCTGCTCGTACACGACCTGCAGTCGCCCAGCAGACACGTGCTCCCGTGCAACACTCTGAAAAGCTCGCGCCAACAAACACCGAAGCCTCGTCCCTGGACGGCTGTGACATGCTGGGACACACCGGGACACACCCCGTGCACAAACTCCTTGAAGCACCGCATCCTTCCCTTCATGCTGGCTGAGGCTCCCTGCGGGCAAACGCTGGCTTTCCCAGCCGCCGACGCCTCCTTCCAGAACGGCCACGCGCCTTCCCGCGAACTGTCGATCGCATTCGGGGACAAGAGACGCCGAGGCTTGGCGCACGGAGGATACGGTACGATGCTGCCACAGGTGAGTGCTTCCCTCTGTTCCAACCATGCAGTCTCGCTTCGTGTCCGCAGCTATCGGAACTGCAGCTTTAAGACACTTGAACCATGCTACACTGTGTTCATGGCGTCAACCACAGAGCTCACGAATTCCGCCAGCTTGCCATGCCTATGATATTTCGATTGGTGTGCTACGCGTCGGCGTTTACGATGCACTGTGTCATTCTCGGCAGCTACACCATGCCACTCACCCCACACAAGCACGCAGCTGGCACAAATATTTTCGATAGAAGGATCCCAGCAGGAAGCTGGCGCGACAGGATATGTGAAGGAAAGTGGAGCCGAATTCGTCCGGAGACCGAGGACCCAGCTGCGAGGACGGCGCCTGCTCGCGATACCAGTTCGCACACCTGCCGTGTCTTCTAAGATCGGTTATCCTGAAACTCACTTCCACCTGCAGCCCCTCCAAAAGCCCTCAAGTGTGAACGGTCTTCTGACAGAGACCGCACATGCCCAAACACTTGGTCCCACAAAATCCGAAGATAACAGTAGACTTGGAATCCAGCTGAGGGCCGCGGTGCCAGCAATATTGGCAGTGGAAAATCTCAGCAGACGGGTGGTCACATCCGTTGCACATAGACTCGAAAAGGGCCGCCTCCGACAGACGAATCGCCAAAGCTCCGCAAGCGCAACATGCGACCGGCACGGACCCTGAGCTGACGGCGACGAGCTTCTCTTCGGAGAATTTCACCACCAGCTCCGGCACCTCACCAGCAGATTCAACAAGCTCGGTCACGAATGCTACACCCCATCCGGTCCGAGCACCCATTCCCTCTCTTGGCGGCCCCGCCCTGTCCAAGAAGGTAAAGGCGGGCTCGTATGGCTCGCGCACCGCGCCCTGGAGCCGTCGAGAGACACCCCTTCCAACACAACAATCCGCGAATCTTGCTGAAAGGCCTTGATGTGCCCAGAGGCACGATCAGCCCCACGGACATCAATGAGCACACACCTCGGTGCTTTGCTTGAGTAATCTTCACATCCGCGAGCTTTCGCTAACTATGCCACGGGCGTGTGGCCCAGTTCTGAGAGGCAGACAGCCCTGCTTCGAGGAGCTTGTGCACCTATAGGCCAGATGCCACACGATGTGACAGAATCAACGAACACGGCCCAACGCTCCTATCAGTCGCTCCGCTGCGATCCGCTTGCAAGGACACACTGCGTACTTGACACCTCGTACGTTCCTAGTACCAGTGGCAGCTCTTCAGGTGTGCCTCCGCAGGTGCGAGCTTCTCGACCCCCTTGCAGCGACAACGATGCGACATCGAGATGCTTCCAACAGCTGTTGCACCCTGGTCGTGGTCCTTGTGCAGGGGCCATCGGAGACTGGGCTCCACCAAACCCGCGCAAGCTGCTGGCCTGTGCACAGGTTCTGCCCGTCGTGACTTGTGCAGTGAGACGCTCGAGCCGCATCCAGGACAGAAACCAATATCGTTGAAGTTCCAAGTTCGGCCTTTACGCCACTTGCAACTGCTGGAGCGCCCGTGCGCGCAGCTCGAACACTGAACGTGGCTTTCAGGTTGCCTGCAACATGTTCGCTCCGATCCAAAGCGTCTGGTGCCATTCGGTGCCGCCCTCCGCTGGTCGTAGGCCAGTCTCGTAGCTCCAGATTTTCCAGTCGTTGCTTGCCCGGAGCGTCCGTGCATGTCCGTGTTCGTGTTTTGCACCGCTGACGCAGTCGTAGCGTTCCGAACTTAGGCTGGCTTCATGACGACCGGCAGAAGATCGTCGAAAAGTTACGTGCTCAGTGGGCTTCTCTTTTGCAGTCGCTAGCATCTATCATCTGAGCGATTCTCATGCAGCATGGAGATCGAGACAGGCCTGGGTGCAGACTCGACGGTCGTCGTCGCTGTCTGGACCTTGACATCAAGGAGACTGCCTCCTTGAAACTCCACTGGATGGATCTTCTCAGGTCGGTGCCATGGAGGTTTGCACACGCTCCTGACAGGCTTGCTTGTGGCGTCAAAACAAGGAGCTCACTCCGATTCCGGAAGCAGATGGAGGAATCGGAACCGATCCGATCCCACCGGAATAGGGCAGTCCTCTGCCTGCGGGACAGGTACCGACCTGCTTCGACTTCGGCAGAATACAGTAAGTCATGCGGCAGGGTTTTCAAGTCGTAGGCACAAGACAAATCACAGCGGACAAGGCTGAGATTGAGATAGGTTGAGCTGCGAGCGTGCTGGCAGCAACCACCGGTCGCGCCAACGGCGCATTGGCCTCAGCTTTCGGCGCTCAGCTCCACTGTAACCCCAGAGTTGGCAGCAAACTGTCACGTTACGTCGTAGTCTGCACATGGGACATGGCGGAGACTGGGCAACATGAAAGCCGTGACAGTGCGCCAGCGCAGCCCAAAACTCCACTAGATGGATCGTCTCAGGCCCGGGCAATGGAGGCGTGCAGACGGTCCTGACAGGCTCACTTATGGCGTCAAGACAATGAACGTCAAGCTCACTCCGGACGTCAACCGGAAGAGGGCAGTCCTCCGTTCGCGGGGAAGGTACCCGTGACCTGCTTCGACTTCAAACAGCAAGGCATCTGGCTGGAAGGGTCTTCGAGTCGTAGCTGGCGCAAGACAAATCACTGTGACACGGTTGAGATAGGTTGAGCTGTGAGCGTGCTGGCAGCAAGCACCGGTCGCGCCAAGCGCACGTTGGCCTCAGTTTACGGCAGTGCTAGCAACAAGCTGTCACACTACATGCCCGGGTGCGTGCTTGCCGTCTCTGAGGTCCACGCCACCTGCTGGTGAGGAAGGCGCATCACACGACTGTCAGGGCAGGTGCTGGAGTGATCTGGTGTTAATGACGACGACACTGACGCCGACGAGCCGACGACGACAACGACGATGACGGCAACGATTTCACAAAGCATCATACGAATCATGCTGATGATACGCTTTTTGACTCCATCAGTTCGCCCGTGATGTCAGAGTCCGGGCAGACTGCACAGTACTGACACCGTACTGACGGATGGGGCGGTGCAGCTGGCGTTTAAAAAACACTACGAATGCAACGATGCTGTGACAAACATGTACCTACATTACATGTACCCACAGTACATGGTGCCTAGCGTGGTTGATGCCTGCGCCTGCTTCATTGCAAGACCCCTAACGCTGCAAGTTTTTGGCGTAGGCTGATTGAAAGACACCAGGTAGCATCGGCAGCTTGCCGACACATAGCTGCTATCGAATGGGTCTTGACCACCTGGCGCATTTCCACGCATACTTCAGATGTTCCCTGGTGCTAATGATACAGAGACTGATTTGTTGTTTGCCTTTCTGGCTGCAGCATGAGCTGCAGAATGAGTAGCTTGCTGTGAATCTTGTGATGCGAACAAGGAATGGCGCTTGATCAAGATGTGAAAATATGTGAAAGGTTTTCGGCAGTTGTCCTTGATACATGATACAACAACATGGAGCAGCTGTGTTTTCACAGTACCCAATGACATCGTTGGCG